GTGTTAGAATTGTACAACCTGAAAGCAACAAGTGGGTGGAGTGATACAAGTTTTTCAAGCTTGCTCTCTCTAATCAAACTAATGCTATCAAAGAATAATAAACTTTCGGATCGGCTATATGATGCAAAGAAGGTGTTACGCATAGTTTGCCTAAGCTATAAGAAGATACATGCTTACCCTAATGATTGCATTTTATTTAGGAATGAATATGAAGAGCTAACCCACTGTCCTAAGTGTGAGACATCACGTTATAAGCAAAATGGGAAGAGTGTGAAGAAGGCAATGTGGTATTTTCCTATTATTTCAAGATTTAGGTGTTTGTATAGTATACATCAAGAGGCAAAGAATTTAATATGGCATGCAGATGGAAGGATTAAAGATGATAAGATTTCGACATCCAGCTGATTCTCCTGAATGGATAAGGTTTGATCGGAAGTACCCTAAGTTTGGAAAAGAAGATAGGAACCTACACCTCGCATTATTTACTGATGGGATAAACCTATATGGTATGCAGAGCAGTACCTATAGTACATGGCCTGTGATGATAGTCATTTATAACCTTCCTCCCTGGCTTTGCATGAAGTGAAAGTATATGATGCTATCCTTGCTAATATCGGGGCCCAAGCAACTCGAAAATGACATAGATGTTTACTTAGAACCATTGATTGAAGACTTGAAGCTGTTATGAGAGACAGGTGTAGAGGTATATGATGCCTACAAAGAAGAGATATTCAATTTGAGAGCCATACTTTTTAGTACAATCAATGACTTTCCAGCGTATGGTAATCTATCAGGGTATAGTATTAAAAGACAACTTGGATATCCTATTTGTGAAGAGGGAATACGTTCAATGAGATTGCAACATGGTGTGAAGAACATATACCTTGGACATTGTAGATGGTTGGGTGACAAACATCGATATTGTCGATGGAAAAAGTCTTTTGATGGAAAAATAGAAGAAGAAAGGCCACCAAAGCAGTTGACTGGTGAGGAATTATTTGAAAAGGTAAAAGACCTTGATATTGAATTTGGCAAACCGTTTGCAAAGCATGTTGGAACAAGCGGGTGGAAGAAAAGATCAATTTTTTTTTAGTTTTCATATTGGAAGACCTTGAATGTGTGACACTTCCTTGATTTGATGCATATTGAGAAAAATATGTGTGATAGTCTTGTTAGGACGTTGCTTCATATTCCAGGAAAGATGAAGGATGGCATCAATGCAAGGTTAGATATGGTTGAAATGGGCATAAGAGAAGAATTGGCATTGCAGAAGAAGGGAACTCACACATTTCTTCAAGCAGCAGCTCACACACTATCTAAAAAAGAAAAGAAAAGAAAAGAAAAGTTTATGTGAGTTTCTTGCTACAATCAAGGTTCCAGATGGCTACTCTTCAAATGTTAGAAACTTGTCTCAATGAAGGACCTAAAGTTAAAAGGTTTAAAGACTTATGATTGCCATATTTTAATGGAGAATTTTATTTCGATTGCTATACATGGTATTTTACCCGATAATATGCAAGGTACAGTCACAAAGCTATGTTACTTCTTTAGGTGCCTCTGTAGTAAAGTAATTAATCCTAACAAGTTGCTGAAATTGCAAAGCCAAATTGTGAAAACATTATGTGAGTTGGAGATGTTTTTTCCCCCTGCATTTTTTAATATCGTGGTCCACTTAGCCATTCACTTGGTTAGGGAGTACAATTATGTGGCTCTGCTTATTTGAGGTGGATGTACCCTTTTAAGCATAATATGAAAGTATTGAAAGTGTATGTGAAAAGTCAGAGTCAACCAAAAGGTTGCATTGTTGAATGATATATTAATGAAGAGGCTATTTACTTTTGCAGTCAATACTTAAAGAATTCAAGGAATGTTGATGATGAAGCTAAAAAACGGACAACAGGAAGAAAAATTGTCACTATCTCAAGTGACCAATGGGAAAAAGTACACCTTTTTGTGCTGTACAACTTTCTAGAGATTGATGAGTATGCAAAAATTCATAAGGCAGAGCTAAAAAGGCAGCACCATCATTGATTAGAGAGTTGGATCATCAAATTGTACAATAAACAGTTCATTCGCTGGTTGAAAGAGCATATCGAAGGGAAGTACAATGCCAATCCTAATTCAGTTTCTGATAGATTAAAATGACTGGCATAAGGTTCGAGCAAACATGTCTTCTCTTACACTAGTTATACTAGCAATGGGTACAAGTTCCACACAAAGGAGCATGATGACCAAAGTACAATACAAAATAGTGGTGTATCCACCATAGGTGATAGCATGCACATTTCTAGTGCGAAAGATAAAAAACCTATTTACACAAAAATGCATTATTTCGAAGTAATTGAGCACATTTGGGAGTTAGATTACATCTTCTTTTGAGTTCCAATCTTCGGTTGCAAGTAGGTTGAATATAAGAATGGGGTAGATATTGATAACTTTGGGTTAATTAGGGTGAATCTGAAGAAGGAAGGGTTCACAGAGGATCCTTTCATTTTTTCTTCCTAAGCCAAACAAGTGTTTTATATCCATGATCCAGCTGATAAAAAATGGTCTATTGTTTTATGGAGTAACAAGAAAGTTGAAGAAATGGAAGATACAGAAAATGAGCAAAGTTGAAGAAATGATGAAGTTGAAATTGATCCATTTCATAGGACATCATTTGAAAATGATGATGGTGTAGATAGTATTGAAGATAATGCTTTCTACATAAGACATGATCATAATGAGGGAATTTAGATTCCAAGAGGGGGAAATTAATTCAACAAAAGAAAAAGGTTGTTAAAGTGAAGAAGAAATTAGTCAAAAAAGTAGTTAAAACAAGAAAAATAAAAAAACATAAATAGGTAGTTATGTTATTGTTGACTTATTAAAGAAAGTGCACATGTTGTTATTATTTTTTTTTTATTTTTTTAACTTATTCTTTTTATTTATTTAATCTTGATTATTATTTCTTTCACAAGTAAATGGCTATTGAGCATGACCATCTTGATATTGGCTTTAGATCCAGTAGTCCGAGTAGGCAGCATGATGACCCGGCTAAGAAAAAGGCTGACCTTGATAGGCAAGAAGAATAATTGAGGAGAAGGTTGGTTGTGATGGAAGAAGTCATTAAAGCAAGAAATGAAGGAAGAAAATTTACTGTCAAGTAGAACAATAAGAATCAAGTAGTTGACAATCATAACTTCATCAGTTATATTGGTGTGGCAGCGAAGTCCTCGGTGCCTATTACTTTAAAATCTTAGAAGAATGCAACTCCAGCAATAAATGATGCAGTGTGGAGAACTTTAACAATAAGATACTATCACTTTGCTTTTTTTTTAACTTAATGTTTTGCAATCGTTTGTTTAAATTGACATGTTCATCTTACAATCAGGATTTGAAATCGAGGAGAGGTGCAAGAAGTTTGTTCTACAAAAAGCTGGGATAGCCTTAAGATCTTTTAGAAGTTTTGTTACCAGTAAATTTTTGACAAACCCTGACATGGAGGGTATCGAAGATACAGTTCCTTCCCTCATTTCAACAATTGTGAGTGAGGATGAATGGAAAGCTTTTGTCAACTCACGTTGCAGTCCAAAGTTTAAGGTAACATTAATATTATTTTATTTATATATTGTTGCTTTATTGTCACCTCCTTTTTATATTAATTGACTTACTATGTTTTTGTGTTTTTTCGAAGGCATTAAGCGCCAAAAATAAAGAGTTGGCAAAAAAGAAAGAATATATATATAAGGCTGGACGCAAGGGATATGCAGGAGTTGAAAAGGGTTTGATTGAGAAAGAGCAAGCATCGGAGGGTTCTATATCTCGTGGCAGGATTTGGGTCGAGGCTCGAAAAAATAAAGCAAGCAATATTGACAACCTAAAAATAAAAGCGGTTGTTGAAATAATAGTAAGTATTAATGATATATTGATATAATGTTATTAGTTTTTACTTATAAACTTTGCTTTTTTCTACTTCACAGGAGACTTTGACTCAAGAGGCATTAGCAGGCACTCAAACTATTGATGAGGATATATTGGAGAAGGCGTTGGGGAATACTAACCATCCTGGTCATGTTCGGGGCGTTGGCTTTGGAGTCACAAGAAAAGATTACTTTGGTGATGCATTCAAGCGTAGTAAAAAGGCTACTTCTTTTGCTGAGGTTCAAGAGTTGAGGCAAGAGCTAGTAGAATAGAAACAGCAGATACTAGCACAATCGCAACAGATACAAGAACAATCTAGACTCATCGATATACTGTTGAGCTGGCACAAGTTGGGGCTTCCACTGGGCGACAGTAGCCCTAGTGTGAATAAGAGTTGCAAAGTCCCATCTCAGCTCCTACCTGAGGTATCATTATTCATTTTACTATAATCTTACACATAATACTACTTTTATTGTTCATATTACATAATTTTTTTCTTTTTTTAATTTATGTAAGGTGAGGCCGACGTTGATTGTTTGGCAGAAGACGGCTATATGGTTGCACTGGGGTGCATGTACAATATTGCTGGGCAAGTAATGCTTTACAATGAACACATCCCTGAAGGGACAGTGAAAGTCTCTTTAAAGACAGTTGAGGATCCTAATTATGATCTACCCTACCCCACTCCGAATGCAAGGATGGTAGTAGATGCATTGCTCAACTTTGTTGCATGGCCAGTTCGTCTTCTTCGTATTTTGGCACCATCTCCAATGGTATATTTGTTAAACTCCTAATAGAAAATTAACTTCTTTTGCATTTTTTTATAGTTGATATCTAACAATCTTATATGTTAGAAAAATTAGCCTGTTGCTAAGCCGGTGGGAAAGAAAGCACCAAAGGCTATGAAAGCATTCACTACTAAGCGAAAGAGGGAAAAGGATAAGAAGAGCTCTGACAAGTCGAGGGAATCCATCACATTTGCCTAGAAGACACAGATTCTCCCTCAAGCACATTAGCCTCAAGCCCCTCAGCCTCAAGCCTCTAAAAGTCAAGTCGCACCCAACAAAAATCGACAATTGCTTAACCCCTATGCCGAGATGCAAGAAGGAGTGCTGCTCCCTTTCCCTACAAACATGTATGCTGATCCACAGTCTTTTGACCAAGTCAACAATGAGGTGTTGGATGATTTATTCAACCATGCAGAGGTTACCACTACTCTATATAACTTATATATGAGGTATGTTTCTAAAACCTTTCATTAGACATTTAGCTATATACACACACACACTTTAATCATATATTGTTTTATTTATTTCAACATTTAAGGAACCTCTACACTACCATGCTTGCTGGAAGAGATATAGCACGGAAGATTATATTTGTCAGGCCTCAAATGGTCTTTCCTTATGGCCATGACATAATGAGTCCTAAGCAAGGATTGGAAATATCTCAGAAGCTTTCAAAGTACTTCCATCAACGTGGTACCGACAAGAACACAATATTTATAGCACCTTATTGTGAAGGGTAAGTTACTTTACGATGCTTCACTTTAATTTATTCAAAATTTAATTATTTATATGATACTTTCTAATTGTAATTTTTGTCATAGGGGACACTGGATGTTGCTTGTGATCAATCCAACTTTAGGGAGGGTGTGGTACCTTGACCCTATTCGGAGTGGCCATCCGTCTAACAGACCACATATTGTGGAAATGATTAATCAGTAAGTTGATTAATTTGTTTGCATATATGTAATTTGTTTTTTTGTATGAATATTTCTCATGTCAAGTTTTCTATTTCACGTTAGGGCCATTGTCATATACCGCACTGATGTTGATCAATAATTTTGACAACTAGTAAAGGACAGCAGTCGGTTTGATACAGCAACATCATGGACAGTTGTCAAGGTATATGTATTTATCATTAATTATGTTAGAAACGTCACTGTATAGGTCATGCCATATTATTAATTAACTATTTAGTTATTTTATCCATTGTATAATTGTAGTACCCAAAGCAAGCAAACAAAGTCAAGGATTATGGGTACACTGTCATGAAATTCATGAAGGACATAATCCAACATGCTCCAACCGGAATTCTTCCGAATGATGTAATTGTCTTCCCATTCTATTTTATTAGTTTTTATCAATAAACATAATTTTAATTTTTTGTTGTTGTTATTGCATATAGTACTACGAGGACACATACTGTGACACGTATACTCATGCTCAAATGGAAGAAGTCTTTGAAGAGTTAGCACACGGTATTTTTAAAGCATGGTTTACTTTCAACAGCCAGCAGCAGTGACAGTTAGGAAACTTAGGCAAATTTTGGAATTTGGAGCTTTATGTTTTAACCATTAATTGCTTTCATTTAAGCAATTCAAGTTGTATATAAGTTTTTTATAGGAATTCATTGTACATTTATATATATAAACGTAACTATTATTGGCTGACATTTGTGTCTAGGTTCTGAAATATCATTCTATAATTTACAATACAGGGGGCTTGCTAGAAATGTAGGTAGAATATGGAAAAAATTAGGTCCTAATATTCAACAGTTATAAGATAAAACCGTTGAATATGATCACAAAACTATTTAGCGGTTTCATCTTACAACCACTGAATAAGTATATATATTCAACGGTTTTTAATTAATAACTATTGAATAATTTGAAAACATTCAACGGTTTTTATTCCAGAACCGTTGAATATTATCTCTCACAATTTCTCATTTTGAAATTTCAAAAATTTATGCAACGGTTTTGGAATAAAAAATTGTTGAATAAATTAAAAATAGTTAATGGTTAAAAACTGTTAAATAAATGGTCATAGAATATTCAGCGCTAGCTTACTCAACAGTTCATAACCGTTATATAGTAAGGAAAATAATCATTTTATATTTCCTTTTTTGTAGTAGTGTCTCTCATTTGAATAAATTTTTTAATATTTATTATTTAATAAAAGTTTTAAATGATATTATATTTTAAATATTAATTGTGATTAAATACTTTTAGTAAAATATTTTATTTAATTAAATTATTATTATTTATTTACATTAGTAAATCTATATTATTAATTAACATAACTATAAAAAAAATCTGATTAAGAGGCCACCTATCTTCCTAGTAATTAAAAACAAAAAATTTCTTATTATTGTTAATTCATCATTGTTATTAAATAACAAAGATATCTAAGAAATGTTATCAAAAACAAAAAAAAAATATATCTAAGAATCAATATTTAGTAATTATATATGTGTGAAATATAACTAATTAAATCAGTTAGAGGAGAGAGGTGGCCTTTTTAGTGACCTCTCTCATTTAAATGAATTTTTATACTAAATAAATATCAAAGTAATTAGGTGGAGCTTATAATCACTGGAAATGCCACCTATTTGATGCAAATTATTAAATAATTTTAAATATTATTTTTAAATATTTATTAAATAATTATAATAAAAGAATAATTTAGTTTGATAAATTAAATTAATAATTTGTTAACATATTAGAGAGGTGGCATTTCCTATCTCAAAAAACGCCACTTCTCTTGTTTTACTTATTAAATAATAATATATATTATTATATTAATTATAAAATTAGAGAGGTGACGTTTTTAAACTCTAGAAATGTGACATCTCTTCTTTTAATTATTAATTAATAATAATTAATTATTTTTTCTTATTAAATATCATTGATAGAATAATTATTTAATCTAATAGTAAAAAACATACTTAATTAATTATAAAGTAGAGAGGTGGCGTTTATAATTGAACAGTCACTTAACTATCAAATAACAAGAAACAGTGGCTTTTCATGTAATAAACGTCATCTCTATTTGTTTTACTAAAATTTTAAATTAAAGAATAATTTATAAGTGGTGACAATTTAATTAAGATATACCTCGTCTTTGCTTTGGGTTGAATATTAGTAACATTTCATTTTTTTTATTGCTACTACTAAATCCTATTTTTGTAGTAGTAAATTTTTTTAATTAAACTTCCTTGAGCTATGGTCTTAACCTCACCATTGTGTGTGGTGACTTAATTTGTTTGTGGCAAATTAAACTTATGGTCCTCGCTCCGCCATTGTGTGTAGTGACTAAAACTGCATGTGCAGCTTGTGGTGGACACCTTCTTCTTCCCCTAAGCCCACTAATTGATTTTATTGTATGGATTATATATAGGTTTCCTTTCTTCCCATAGGTCTTCTTATTATATTTTGTGTAACTCTCAAATTTTAATCCCTGATTAACTAAACTTAATTATAATAGTTAAGTAAATTATAGTGGTGTGTTGCTAGGAAGGTCTAATAACTGATTTTGAGTTGTATTTTAGCCCCAATTATGAGTTTGATGTAGAGTCGAGCCACCCAAACATTGAAAGAAGAAGAGAATAAAGATTTAGTATTGCTGTGCCACACACCATAGCGTGAATCATGTCTGCTGCAGCACCTGTAGCATTCGCTACAGCGCACAACCAATTTCTGCAGCATATCAGTCATGAACTGAGATAGAAATAGAGAAGGGAGAAAGGAGAAAATGAGGAAGGTGTGCCAAGTTTTGTTAGGGTTCATCTTCGAAGGATATTTGGGACATTTTAAAGCTATTAAATACTTAAGGTAAGTATCCTAAGCCACATTCCTCCCATCTTTCACATTTATGAGTTTATGGTTAGGGCTTGATAAAGGGAGATGATTTTCAATCTATATAGGTTATGAATCCGAATTTATTGACTCAAATAGAGTTACTAGGAGTAGATTAGAGTATCTAATATATTGGTTTTTTGGCACTTTTGGTAGCTGGGTCCCATTATTATGTAAAAATGACATCAATTAGGGTTGTTGGAAGAGTATGATACCATTAATAGGAGTTTAATGGCTCAAGAATATTATTAGATACTAAAGAGGGTTAATAAACCCAATGGATAGGCCCAAACTTATACAAAATAAGCGTTAAGTAATCTAAAAGTGGAAGATGAGAGTTGAAAAGTAGGTGTTTGACCATGTTGATAAATCTAATAATTTATGGATTGCAGATTAAGCTCTTGGACACCATTGAGGTTTGGGAATTTAGGCTTGGAGGCTATAAATATTAAGGGGGGTAAATCTTTGACCTCTCAAAGGTTTGAAATAATTAAGAAAATCCTATTCTAGGTAGTTATATATCAACTGATTTTAAATTGTGAATAATAGGGATTGTCACATGCATGAGTTGATTTTAATGTGAAAGCATGTTAATACTTTTAATGTATGATTTGAAAATATGAATGTGCATGATGTTATATCTGGCTTGTATTGCAAATATAAAATCAAGATAGTTTTCGAGCTATAAGCATGCATATACGTTTAGGAAGATGAATGTGATATTAGGTTGAGGAAAATGTGGATTAATAAAGAAATGGAATATGGTGATAATGAGAATAAAGTAATGACTGTATGTGAAAATAGGTAATATAATATAGTGTTAGGCTATGCATCAATAAACCTTGGAGGGTGTGGTAAGCCTAAATGGGGCAAAAGACCCTAGAGGGTATGGTGAGATGCTACACTTGAAAATGAAAATAATGTTGAGAAAATGAGATTTGTGAAATTAGTAGATATCACACATGGCATGATCAGTTGGCAAGAGTTGCCTTGAGATTTAGGAATAGTTAAAATTCATATGATATTTATGCTGTCTTTCGGTGTACTAGGATATAGCCTTATCCCACAATTTATTGAGAGATTGTCCCATAGTTTGTCGAGGGACTAAAACCTAGCTTTCTTCACTAGTTTATCAAGGAGAATAGCTTAAGAAATACGACACCCTAAAGATTCGAGGATGGGGAAAGCCATAGCCTAAAAGTGAGTACTGTGATCTTTGGCTGGGTCACACCTCACGAATGGTGAGCTTGGGTAGTCCAGTCACACTGACAGAGCCTTATTTACTATTATAACCCACAATTTTAGTTGGAGAAAATAAGGAGGATATAAGATTGATTGATCATTGCCTATGCAAACTTAAGACGCGTTACATGATTATGATATAACAAGTCACATGAATAATAGGTCATAGTCATATGTCTAAGTATCTTGTGACAATGCATCTAGTATATGTAAGATGGAAATGGGTTAAAGGTGTAATGATAATTTTTGATATGTGGTTTAACATGTTTTAAGAACTTAGTTTCATTTACATGTGTTTTATTACAATTGATATATAATTGCATAAGGTAGGTTTTACCTTAGTTACTAAGTAGCTAGGCTTACCCCTTTCATTTAACACTTTTTAGGTTCTAGTTCTAGTGTAGAAAGGGAGAAAGCTCAAGAGGCTATGAATTAGTTCATTCCTGATGTATGCCTCTAGTTTATGTCTATTTTGTGTAATAGAATATTATTACCAATTTTAGGTTGCATATTATTACACTTACACTATTTTATTGTTGTAAATAGCTGAATTGTATTTTAGGCCCTGAGTATTTTATGTATGATGAGATATATATGTTGATAGGGGCAAAATACTAGTACAAGTGTAGAAATGATATTTCAAGCATTTTGTGATTAGTTTTGATGCAACGCAAGGAAAGTTGCATCCCCCTTTTATTTTGATGAAAAAGGAGTTGATGAGTGATTTTGTGTTATATTGTTAATTGAGTGTACATGACGTGTTGTACTGGTAGTCCTAGGTTCAATGAATATGGTCAAGGTATTAGGAAAGGCTTTTGGCACGTGTTTTGGGCTTTAGACACCCTTTTATTGTGAAAAGTTGTAAAAAGTGATAAAAATAGGTTTGGGTGTCCAACTCCCTAGTGTGACTTGTTTTGAGAGTGAAACCCATGCCATTAGCTAGTTTATGAAAAAGAGCTTTTTGTAGACACCTAGATCATATTATTCAAACATCAAACGAAGAATCAAAATGCATCAAAAATTTCCCGATTCTACTATCATTAACATGTAACATGTTGTGGCGCATGGGCTCCTGAGCCGTGACCCGTGGTATAAAGAGCAATATGGCACGGCGCAGCGTGCACAAGCTACAACGCATTGCCTTGTCCCATAGCAAACATATTATTTTTCAACTATTTTCATTCTTTTTCACTCATTTGAGGTATCTCATACTTCTATAATTTGTTTTTATTTTGATATAAGAGATTATGATCAATTTAAACTCATTTTGATTATAAAAACTTGGGTTCCCTTATTTTGAAACGAAAACTTGGTAATCTCTAAATTGGGTTAATCCTTTGATTATCATGAGTTATAACTGGTTAATTGTATCTAGTGGAGGAGGATATACATTCTTTATGAGATAAACTGCTCTCTCTCTCCC